TCCTCCTCCCCCTCCTCATCCTCCTCCTCCTCCTCCTCCGCCTAGGCGTTGTGGTCCGAGGCGTCCTTCCTTTCGGGACAGCCCGACGGCCACGACCCCAGCCTCCCGCCCCCCCCTGGGGCGCGAGGCGGAGCTCTCGGGCACGCGGCGCCAGCGATCGCCGTCGCCCGCGGCGGGGCGCCCTCGCGAGCGCGAGCGCTCGCCCGCCTGGCACCGCAGGGCGCGGCGCCAGCGCTCTGCCGCCCGTGCTCGGCTTCGGCGGCATCACGACCGCCTGCTGCTGCAGGCACACCACGGCAGCCAGCCGCCCATGCATGGGCCCCGCGGCGGAGGCCCCCCTGCGGGCCCAGCGCGCGGCCAGCGGCCGCAGGGCGCGGCGCGCGGCGGCGACGGCCCTGCAGCCTCGGGCGGCGGCACCCCTTGCTGCAAGTGCGGCTGCCGCAAGAACGAGGCGTGGTGGCGCTACTGCAAGCACTGCAAGGGCGAACTGGTGCCGACGCAGGCCCCTCCTCGGCGCCCTCGCTCTGCTGAGCGGCGTGTGGTGCAGCGGGCGCCTTGGCACGACGAGGACGGCCTGCGACCTGGGACAGGCGGCCGAGCCGATACGCCAAGGGGACGGCGTGACGGCTCCAGGGTTCGCTTCGCATTGTCCAGCGTGGAAGAGCTGCCCAGCGGCAGCGACGCCGACCCCGAGGAGGCCAAGCTGGTGCAGCTCATCAGCTTGCTCCGCCTGGAGCAGGACGAGGGCGGAGTGCGCAAGTACCAGGAGCAGCTCGACAGCCTGCGCAGTGCCCGTCGGGCGCGGCCCTTGTCCGTGGACGAGGCCATGGCCGCCAGGGACGCAGCAGCTGAGGCCTTGGACAAGGCTGTCGAGCATGCTGACTCGCTCCAGGCCCAGTTGGACAGCGCCAAGTCGGTGGTGGTGGACCGCTCCGCCAAGTACGATGAGGCTCTGGCAGCGTACACTACGGCTGTGCAGGCCTTGGCGCAGCAGGTTGCTGGCGCGACACCGCAGACGGATGGCCCGCCGCTCTCAGGCAAGCTGTCCATCGCCAAGTTGCTCCAGGGTGACAACGTGGAGCTGGACGACGAAGGTCTCTTCGGCTTGGAGGCCCTGGAAGACTACGAGATTCAGGAGTCAGACCGTGAGGAGGCTGCCAGACGCAAGGCCGATCTCCAGAGCAAGTTCAAGGCCATGGCGCAGGAGGCGTTCGGCAAGTTCGCGAAGGAGGCCCGCGAGCTCGAGCGCCAGCACTCGGAGCTCAAGGACCGCCTCCAGAAGAAGCGCAAGACCTCAGGCGAGGCGGCCGAGGCGGTGGCGCAGCCAGCGGCACCAGCTGCGGCAGCGGGGGCCAAGACGGCAGGCGAGGCAGGAGGCCCCACGGCGCCTGCTGGCCCAGCGGCCGAGCCTGGCGGCCTCGTCGCCGATGGCGACAAGGATGTGGTGGCGGCGGCGCGCGCGCGGCTGGCTGCTGCAGCCAAGGGCGCTGGCCGCGGTGCTGGCAGCAGCGGCGGGGCCGCCACTGCTCCACGGCCGACCCTTTGACGTCCTTGACGGGGTCGGCCCTCACCAACGGCATCTACACGGTCACGAAGATCTCGCCGCTCTCGGGCTTGTGGGCGATCCACCTCTTCGGAGGTGCCACGTCTGGGACGGCCACTACTACATGGGGCACTGCGACGACGCGCAGTGGTTTTCTTCCTCTTCACTTTCGGCTTCCACTCCCGCAGGGGCGCCTGGTCCAGTCCACGACGACTACTTCTACCTAGGCGGCGAGAGTGACGGCACCTCCTTCACCAACACTGGGGCTACTTATCTTGACGGTCCGACGTATGATGACATGCAGGCCGTGGCTGGCCTTGATTACTGCGTCTGGAAAGATATGGACCCTGCTAGGCAACAAGCACTCGTGCTCCAGCGGGAGCTCGCACGTGCCCTTCGCAGATTCACGGGGCACTGGTTGGAGGACCCGCGCGTCCTGGACGACGATACGGACGGGAGGCACTGGAGGCGGCACTGCGTGCCCTACGTTGCCAACTACCTGTCGCACCCGTTTCTGAGGCCGCTGGTCATGGAGAAGGCCCAACAGGATGGGCATGACAACCCTCACATCGCTGCAGTTGATATGGCTATCGACATCTGCAGGCGCGCATTCCGTGCTCGGCGGCGAGCGCGTTTCCATTACCATGACTGGCTACGGAGCCTCGAGGCCCTCGACCCCGATGAGTACGACAACCAGCTTGCCCTCCACGCCGAGGCGATGATCAGGGAGCAGGAGTTCTTTGATACTCGAGTGGATCCTCGCCGCCCCGTTGGAGAGGAGGCCAGGTCTGCCTCGTCCTACACGGGCTGCTCTGACACGGCGACCGTCAGCGACTACGAGGGCAGCGATCCTGACGACTCAGGTGGTACTACGACTGCGAGCTCCACGGGCAGTCGTCCTGCACCTCATACACGCTGCAGCGCCACGGCTTTTCGGCGCGCGCACAGGCTTGGACGACGTCGTCGACGGGGCCTTCGAGCTGGAGCAGCCCGACCCCAAGCCGGGCACGTCTTACTGCAGAGTGGGAATGGAGCTGACATCAGATGCAGGCTCCCAGCCATAGCGTGCTCCGACTGCTGCCCCCTTGGGCCTCTTGGGTATCGGAGTGATCACCCCCCCGTCTCTCCGAGAGCTGCGACGGCCGCCGAGCCGTCAGCGTCGGTCCTGGAGGACCAGGTCGGCCGCAGGTCGGCTAGCGGGAGAGAAGGAGGGGGGGCCCCTGATGGGGCCGCGTCGCCCAGGGTCTCGCAGAGACATCGTGGCAAGGCCTGCAAGATCATGACGGTCAATGTCACGGGCTGGGGCTCCCTCCTCACGCAACTGGAGGAGAAGCGCATCCCCGATGACGTGCAGGCGGTGCTCATCCAGGAGCACCACCTGGAGGAGGCCAGGATCGAGTCGGCGCTGAAGGCCGCCAGGGCCCAGGGGTGGAAGGCTGACCTCTACCCTGCTCGGCGCACGGGCAACGGCGACGGCACCACTGGCGGTATCGGCCTCCTGGTCAGGCCGCACGTCGCCTTCAGACGCCTGCAGTTCGACCATGACGGCATCCATGCGGCTGGCACGGCTCGTCAGGGTTTCTGGACCACCGACCTGGGGCCTAAGGAGGGGCTGGTGCTGGCGGGCCTCTACCTGCACACCAGCAAGGACCTGGAGGATGTGAACCTCGACATCCTCTTCCAGATCGGCAGCGTATTGCACGCCGCAGGCAGGCCATACGTCCTGGGCGGCGATTGGCAGAACCTGCCCGAGTCCCTCAACTGCCTCCGTTGGCCCAAGGCGGTGAAGGGCGAGGTGGTCGCGCCCGACCAGGCCACGTGCTACACGGCCACGAGCGCCAGGGTCATCGACTACTTCCTCGTGCGGCACGACCTGCATGGGTGCCGTGCTCGCACCTTCGACGGCCTCTCGGTCACGCCGCACAAGGGCGTCATACTCGAGCTGGACGTGTCGCAGATCCCGCTCATGGTGCGCAAGGCCCACATGGCCAAGGCCTTCCCTTCGAGCCAACTGGTAGGCCCCCAGCTTCCAGGACCTGACTGGCAGGCGGCAAGCGAGGCGGCTGCTGCAGCCCACGACCGCGACAGCCTGGACGGGGCCTTCAGCGCGTGGTTGCGGCGCTACGAGGACGAGCTGCTCCAGCACTTCGGCTGCGAGCAGCCTGAGCGGTACCGTGGCAGGTCCGACGGCGTTCGTCTGGTGCACTCGACCCTGCAGATGCACTGCCGCAACCAAGCGAAAGGACGTGGAGCAGCTGACCCCAGCGAGGGCCATTGGCAATGGCTTGCCCAGAGGCTTCGTGAGTGGCGCTGGCGACGTGCCGCGGTGGGCCGCCACCCCAGCGCCGAAGGACAGCTACGCCTTCGTCGGCTGCAGCTGCGGCTTATGCGGTTCACCTTGCCGCAGCCCACGCGCTGGCCCGACATGTGGGAGGCATGGCGGTCCCTCGTCCGACGACTCGATCAGTTGGGCGAAGAAGACCTCGACCACCTGATGCACGACCTGGAGAAGTGCGCCGAGCGCGCTGCTGGCCAGGCCTCCTACCGCAGGTACAAGGCATGGGTGGACTGGTCCCATGACGCCACCGCTGATGGCGGCATGCGGCGCGCCTTCAAGTGGATCAAGCAGGATGCCCCCTGGGCGTGCACCAATGCAGCGGCTGGACCTGGCATTGCCAAGTCTCTCGTGGATGAGGCACGTGACGCTGTTCAACCATGGCACGACCTATGGGGCCAAGGCGAAGGCATCACAGCCGTTCGCTGGCCCACGGACGTCGGGGACATCGAGCTCCCGTCGATCGAGGACTTGCGGAAGACAGCACACACCTTCAAGTCGGACACAGGGCTGGGCTGTGACGTGGTCCACCCTCGACATCTGATTTTTCTAAGCGATGATGCGCTACAGACCTTGTTGGAACTCTGGTCTCAGATGCTGCGTCTTGGCTACGTCCCGGCCCCGATTCGTGTCATGCGCGAGGCTCTCCTTCCGAAGCCCGATGGGGGGAGACGCACAATTGGCATCTTCCCTGGCACGGTGCGGCCACTGACGCGATACTTGCGGGCCACCACGGGCGCGAAGTGGGCCGACAAGAACAAGCGCAGCTACATCTTCGGCACCGAAGGTCAGAGCTGTGAGGCCTGTGTATGGAGGCAGGCGGCTGCTGGCGAGTGGCCTACACACAGTGGTAAGACCTGCCTTTCCATCTTGCTGGACCTCTCCAAGGCTTATGAGTACATCCGCTGGAACCGTCTGGCGACCTGTGCTACCGACCTGGGCTTCAACAAGTGCCTGCTACGGCTACTGCTCATGCTGTACTCCATGCCCAGGCTGCTATCCTTCGAAGGCATCGTATTCGAGCTGATGACGCCGATGCGTGGCGTGGTAGCAGGATGCTCATTCGCTGACCTGATGATGCGAATTTTTCTTATTCCCATTTTGGATGACCTGGTGAGCCTGCCTGGCATCTCAGTCGGCAACGTGGTCGATGACATCCAGATGCAGGCTACAGGCACTCGGCCCACCGTCGTGCAGCAGCTCAGCAAGGCTTACCGCCAGGCGAGGAGTGCACTCCACGACGCCGAGCTGCTGCTGAACGAGAAGAAGGGCAAGCTCATCGGCAATGACTACCAGGCCAGCGTGGACCTCGGCAAGCGCTGCCCGTCGCTCGTGCAGGCCAGCGACCTGTCGACCCGCAACCTGGGCTGCGACTACAGCTGCGGCAAGCGGCAGGGCATGCGCACGCGGCTGGGGCGCCTGGGCAAGGTCAGAAGGCGCTGTGCAAAAATCCGAGCACTTCGCAGGGCCAGGGGAAAGTGCAAACAGCTGGTCAGCATGGGGCTGGTCCCTGCTGGGACCTGGGGTGACGGAGTCACTGGAAGGTCGTGGAGCGGAGTGATGGCCCTCAGGAGGGCTGCGAGGGCGGCCCTGTTCCCTCACACGGCCCGCAGATCCCTCACCATAGACCTGGCTCTGGTTCCTGGAGACACCGCGTCCATCGACCCCGCGTACCCTTGCACGGTGAACCCCATTGTCATGCTCGCCCAAGCCTTCTGGGACGCATGGATGCCTCGGGAGATTTTGTGCCGTATGCTATTCAACGCGGACAAGGCCCTCAGAGGGGCCAAGACACCCTGGAGCCAGGTCACGGGTCCTGTTTCGGCTGCGCTGGCTTCTTGTTTCAGGATCGGGTGGACTCTTGGAACGGGTGTGGGCAAGTTGTGTACTGCAGACGGTGAAGTGCTCGATCTATGTCGTGAGTGCCCCCGCACAGTGAGGATGGTTGCGCAGTGGGGTGTCGAGGCTTGGCTCCTTGACAAGGCCCGCTGTGAAGAAAGCTACCTTTGTACCCTCTCCCACGGACCCTACCTCGCCCCTTTGAAGGCCCTGGTGTCTAGCCGTACTGATGACGACTGGACTGGCATGCACAAGGCTACGCTCCGATGTCTTGCGGCCAACGGGTTCTGGGGGGATGAGCGGCTGCACAGTGTCGGCCTGAGGGATAGCCCAATGTGCTCGCTCTGTGGTGAGGCTCCTGGGACCGTGGGGCACTGGTGTTGGGGGGACTGTGCGTGCACTTGGGCTTTCCGTCGCGACTACCTAGTGCCACCTTCATTGCGAGAGGGTGCTTTAAATCACCCCGACTGGCCCCTCTGGAGCCACGGCCTCGTGGCTGACCCTCGGCCCTGGCTTCCTCGTCCCACGATGGACCTGCTCGTACACTGGCGCGTGCGACCCCCGTCGGGGGCCTTTGAAGGCCCATGTTTTGGAGACGGCTCGTGCCGTTCGCTTGTGGCCTCTGACCCCAGACTTCGCCGTGCTGGCTGGGGAGTTGTCCAGGTGAATTCGAGCGGTCTGGATGTCTTGGCCTCGCTGTGCGGCCCCCTCCCAGGTTTAAACCAGAGCCCTGAGGTTGCCGAACTCTTTGCTCTCAAGATGTATCTTGATAATGTAATGTTTGGCCCCTATGAGTACCTCTCTGACTGTGATTGGGTGGTCTCCAGCTTCCGTAAGGGACGTTGTGAGACCACTGGTGCGTTGCACGCCTGTGCCGACTTATGGGAGGGGGTTTGGGACCGTGTGTCGGACTTGGGGGGGGAGGTCGTTGTGATTAAGGTCAAGGGTCACGCGCGTGTGCGCGATGATGACCTTGACGATGGTGCTCGATGGAGGCGCCTAGGCAATAAGGCTGCTGATGAGACGGCGCGCGCTGGAACCGCCATGCACCCCTCCGATCAGGAGGCCGAGGATCGAGTGATCCGTTCCCATCGGCTGGTCCAGTATGTAGGTAAGTACTTGGCCAGGACCATCCGTGGGGCAGGGCCAAGTCTGGCCTCCGCCTCCCGTCGCGAGGTGGGGCTTCGGAGGGGGCGCCGAATCGTCCCTCGGCTCTCGGATGATGCTGCGCCTCCCGAGGGCACTCATGACCCTGTCTGGTTTCCCAAGGGTGGCTTCAGGTGCATCAGGTGCCTGAGATCGGGGAGCACGATCCAGATTTTGAAGGCCACCCCCTGCAGACCTGGAGCTGGCCACCGCGTTTGGACGGTGGGCCCTTTTGTGTTCTGCAGTGTATGCGGTGCTTATAGCGAGCACAACACCCAGAAGCTCGGTCAAGATTGCCACGGAAGCTGCCCGCGTGGGTCTGTGGCGTGGGACCGCCTGCGTAAGCTGTGGCGTGGTCGCCACCCCCGCAGCGGGATCGAGCTTCGGGCCTCGGGAGTCGGACCCCGCCCCACCCCCTTTGGCGCATTCGCCCTCGACCACAAATTTAAGGGCCTGGTGGTCCTTCCTGGTTCCGAGGAGGAGGATGATGCTTGAGGCTGGTTGGTCCTGGGTCCGCTCCCGTCTTTGAACTTTTGTGTTTTTCCTGACGGAGGCACTCGCCCCCCCTTCTTGCTCCTCCTCACCCCGCCTGGGAGGTGCCCGTCAGCCCAATGTTCGCGCCCTAAGCGCGAGGCCGCTGGCTGCTAGTCTCGACTGCACCCCTTGGCCCCACCAGCACAAAACTCCTCCCCCTCCTCCTCCTCCTCCTCCTCCTCCCCCTCCTCCTCCTCCTCCTAGGGCGGGGATTGCGCGAGGTCACGAGCCGCGAGGCGTCCTCAATAGATGGCCCCGTCCTCGCGCACGCGCGGGCGACCGAGCGAGCGGCGCCGCGTCGTCGCCGCCGAGGTGCCGGGCCCGAGGCTCGAGGCTCTCGAGGCTCCAGGACGCCCTGTGGGCCTCTCGGGGGGCGCCAGCACTGGATCCGCCTCGGGGTCCTCGTCAGAGAGCGCCCCGGGAGGGGCGTCGGGCATCGTCGTCGACGATCGAGGGCAAGGAATGCGAGGGGGAAGGGGGGGGACGGGGAGGAGGGCGAGGAGGCAGGGAGGGTGGAGGAGAGGGAGCGGGGAGGAGGTGGAGACAGTAGAGGCAGTAGAGGGAGTGGAATAAGGAGGAGAGCGAGGAGCAGGACAGAAGAGGAGGTATTACGGGTCCTCAAGGGGGTGCCAGGGGGGGTGCTCTGTGGGCGAATCCGAAAGGGGTTCTGGAGCGGAAGAGACGAGGAGCTTCTCGAGGGCTGCATGGGGCTCTGAGGGGGTCGAGCGAGTTTGGAGGGAGTAGGGGCAGAAGAGGAGGGGGAGGAGAGGGAGGAGGGGGAGGAGGGAGGAGGAGGAGGAGGAGGAGGAGGAGGAGGAGGAGGAGGAGGAGGAGGAGGAGGAGGAGGGGGACAAGAGAGGATGGGGACGAGTGAGGAGGAGGAGGAGGAGGAGGAGGAGGAGGAGGAGGAAGGTCGCATGCGGGATCCATCCCCCGCACTCGGGGCCCCAGGGCTACGGGGCCGGCCTCAGCCCGCTGGCCGCCGCCGCACGATGGCGGCACGGCGAGCGCCAACAGCAGGGCTGAAGACGCAGATCTACAAGTCCGCGTACTTCGAGCACGAGTCCGGCAGACAGGCTTCCAGGACCTGCCGGCCGAGGCCGAAGCGCGCAGCACTGCGCCGTGCTGGCTGCGCTGTGCGCCGCGGCAGCGCGATGAGCTACGACGACTTCCAGCCTATCGCTGCGATGGCGTTCGCGACGAAGTCCCAGGCCATGAAGACTCACAAGCAGCTGCGTACCAGGCAGCACTGCGACGACCAGGGGCCGCACGGAGCAGGTGCTTTACGAGAGCACCTTGCACCGATTGCTCACCAAAAACAGTACATCGTCGTGGCCACTGCAGCAGCACCGTCAGTACACCGCCGTGCAGCTGCAGCGGCCCACCTACGAGCACGACGCCCACGAGTATGACAGCAACGGCTGCTACGAGCACGACAACTACGGCAGCGACGAGTTCGGCCATGCGTACGACATGCCAGGCATGCCGGCCACAGGCCTGCTGGCCACCAGCAGCGCTCCGAGGGCCGCCGGCAGAGCTCCGAGGGCCGCAGCCACAGCTTCGACGACCACCAGAGCAGTCACGAGAGGCACCAGCAGAGCATGCACTGAGGTACAAAGGCCACAGGGAGGCCTCCTAGGAGCCCCCAGCAGAGCTGCGGCGACCGCCAGCAGAGCTACCTAATTGGACTGCCCGCAGAGCTGCCAACCAGAAGAGGAACCTCGACGGCGACGCGCACGGCTATGAGGACCACCAGCGCAACGTCGACGGCCACAAGCAGAGCTACGAGGACCACAAGCTGAGCTACACGGGCAACAAGCAAACATCATTCGAGGACCACCAGCCGAGCTACGAGGGCTAGAAGCAGAGCCTCGAGAACCACCCGCTGAGCTACAAGGGCCACCAGCAGAGCTTCGAGAGCCACCAGCTGTGCTACGAGGCCAGCTGAGCGTCCAGGGTCACCAGCTGTGACACCAGGGCCACCCGCTGAGCTACAAGGGCCACCAGAAGAGCTGGAAGGCCACCAGCTGAGCCACGAGGACCACAGCCAAACTACGAGGGCCACGGGCAGGGCCACGCGGACCACAACCCGAGCTACAAGAGCCACCCGCAGCAGAACCACCAGGGCCGCGCTCTGAGCCACTGGGCCTTCCAGAGAAGGCCTACGAGGGCCACCGGCCGAGCTACGAGAACCACACGCACGGCCACGAGGGCCACGGGCACGGCCGCGAGGACCTCCAGCTGAGCCACGAGAGGCACCAGGCAGGGCACCAGGGCCACCTGCGGAGCTGCAAGGGCCACCCAGAAAGCTGCGAGGGCCCCCGGCGGAGCCACGAGGAACACGGGCTCAACTGCGAGGGCCACAGGCAGGGCCGGGAGGGCCACAAGCTGGGCTACAAGAGCCACCGACAGCGCCACCAGGGCTTTCTGAGCTACCAGGGGGGCTTCCAGCAGGCCTAAGAGCGAACATCGTGAAAATCACGATCACGACGAGCACCCTGGACCCCATCTTTCTGCTGCACTCTTCGAGCCAGGTCGATCTGTGAGGGCCCCGGCGCCCGAAACGATGCGACAGCGCCCGGCTCGAGGAAGCTGCGACGCCTGGCCCCAAGAGGCCTCTCGACGGGCGCAGCGCGACTACCCCGCGACTACCTCCGCGGGCGCACGCGCCAAGTTCCGCCCGCCGCGGGCCTCCCGCCCGCAGCGGGGTCGAGGGTCGAAGTCGAGAGTCGAGCGTCGAGGTTCCAGGGTCGAGGCTCGAGGCTCGAGGCTCGAGGCTCGAGGGTCGAGGATCGAGGGTCGAGGCTCGAGGCTCGAGGCTCGAGGCTCGAGGGTCGAGGCTCGAGGCTCGAGGCTCGAGGCTCGAGGCTCGAGGCTCGAGGGTCGAGGCTCGAGGCTCGAGGGTCGAGGACTCAGGAACGACTCTCTTCGAGGCGAGGCGAGGCGCGCTCGGGGGGAGCGGCGGCTCCGCGCCCACGTAGAGCGCCCTGGTGCCGTCCAGCGCCAGCCGCCCGTCTCCGACCACCTCGCCGCTCCGGGCCGGGACTGCGCGCGGGCTGCCACCGCGAGAGCCCTCCTCCGCCTCCCGCGCCTCCAGCTGCGCCTCCGCTTCCCCCTCTGCCTCCGCGGCCGCCTCCGCCTGGTGCTCCGCCTCCCGTGCCTCCTCCCCCCTCTCCTCCCGCGCCCCCTCCACAAAAGGGAGGCGGCCCCTCGCCCCGGGCCCACAGCGGCATGCCCAGGACTTCTGAGCGAGGCCGACCTGACGTCGCACGCCTTCGCCTACTCCCCTGTCCCTCGCGAAACGTCCTGGCCCTTCCGCCCCGCCGCGGCCGCGGCCGCTCCGCGCCCTCCCACCACGGCGGCCTGGGACGGGCCGCCACCGCCTCGTCCCTCCTCCCTCCTCCCTCGCCCTCCCCCCCCCTCCAGATTTCCAGGTGTCCAAATCACCCAGGGAGGACCCACAGCCCGTTGCAGAACCAGTGCAGGGCAAGCAAGAGACGTGGGATGGAGACAGACAGTCCCTCCCCTCCCCCCCTCTCCCCGCCCTGCCCGTCCCTGCCCTTCCCTCCCTGCCCCCCACCCGCCTTCCCGCCGCCGCTCCCCGGCCCGGCCCTGGCCCGCGCACTCTGCACTGCGGCCTGCGCCCTCGGCAGCCACTGCCCCTCGCAGTGCGTCTTGCGGTGGTCCCCCTAAAACAGGGCTGGGATCGGGATAAATCGCTCCAGAGCGTTCCGGAGCGCTCTCAGAGCGTTCCGGAACGCTCTGGAGCGGCCGCGGCGCCCAATAGATCCTCCAAACCCGCCGATTCGAGTTATCCCGATCCGATTTTGTCCCGATCTTCGCGTCGTTTTACCCCCTGCAGTGCAGCCTGCGCTCTCGGCGGCCCGGCCCGAGGGGGCCAATGCTGGGCGGCGGCGCCCCGCCGCGGCGCCACCGCCCTCCCCCCGCGAGGCCGGCGGCCCGCTCCCCTCCCTCCCCTGAAGCCGCGAGGCCCCCGCGCCCTCCCCTTTAGGCCCCCCCATCTGAGGCCGCGAAGCCCCCCAAGACCCCTCCTCCTCCTCCTCCTCCTCCTCCTCCTCCTCCTCCTCCTCCTCCTCCTCCTCCTCCTCCTCCTCCTCCTCCTCCTCCTCCTCCTCCTCCTCCTCCTCCTCCTCCTCCTCCTCCTCCTCCTCCTCCCTCCTCCCTCCTCCATCCTCCTCCTCCTCCTCCTCCCCCTCCTCCTCCTCTCCTCCTCCTCCTCCTCCTCCCCTCCTCCCCCTCCTCCTCCTCCTCCTCCTCCTCCTCCTCCTCCTCCTCCTCCTCCTCCTCCTCCTCCTCCTCCTCCTCCTCCCTCCTCCTCCTCCTCCTCCTCCTCCTCCTCCTCCTCCTCCTCCTCCTCCTCCCTCCCCTCCTCCTCCTCCTCCTCCTCCTCCTCCTCTCTCCTCCTCCTCCTCCTCCTCCTCCTCCTCCTCCTCCTCCTCCTCCTCCTCCCTCCTCCTCCTCCTCCTCCTCCTCCTCCTCCTCCTCCTCCTCCTCCTCCTGAGGCCGCGAGGCCCCCCTCCCCTGGGGGCCCCCGCCGCCAGCGGGCTCCCTCCCGCCGCTCGGGGCCCCCATGCGCGCACGCGGGAGCAGGCGGGGGAGGGTGCCTCGCCGACGCCGTCGTGGATGCGGACCTGGGGTCTTCCGCGCGGCTCCGGAGCGGACGACGACGACGACGACGACGACGACGACGACGACGACGACGACGACGACGACGAGGACGACGACGACGACGAGGACGAGGACGACGACGAGGACGAGGACGACGACGAGGACGAGGACGAGGACGAGGACGAGGACGACGAGGACTTTGCACTCCACCACGCACTGCACACCGACCAGGCCAGCCTCGAGGACCAACAGCTGATGATATGGTCGGGAGGGGCGGAGAAATGCCGCAATTGCAGGGAAGCATGAGGAGACCCACGGCAATGGAGGCAGCACCGAGAGCACCAGCACGCAAATGTGATGTGGCACACCGACAGAATGTCATCAGAAGAAAGTGAAGCTTCGCTCTTGCCAGGGAGTTGAAATCTGGTTTGATTTCGGATGGTCAGGACGCAACATTAATTTTGATTCGCGGCGTTGGGGTCCCAGGAATGGCACTCCGGCACGATTTAAGATCGTCGGGACGCATCAGTCGCGTTGATCTGGGGCGCTGAAGTCCCAGGAACGGTGCTCAGGCACGATTTAGGGTTCGTAGACGGCTACCCTTCAATAGGGCATTTCCTGCAATGGAAAGAAATTGCTGTACCAAGCTATGGAGAAGAACTTGGAGGGAGGGTGTATTGAAACATCGCTGGCACGGGTTAAGCTTACCCTGGTCCTCCTCCGCCTCCTCTTCCTCCTCCTCCTCCTCCTCCTCCTCCTCCTCCGCCTCCTCTTCCTCCTGTTCCTCCGCCTCCTCCTCCTCCTCGTCCTGCTCCACGGGTCTCGGCATCTCGGGGGCGGCGACTTGTGGTCTTTACCAGCCCCCCTGTGTACTCGTCCTGTGGTGTGGAACCGCACTGTGCTACCCTTGTCTTTGTAACGTTCTTCTGGGTTGGTGCTGTGCGTGGGGGGGGGGGGGCGTTTCTCCCTACCGTTCTAGCGTTGCGACTCCAGCCAGGAGTTCATTGTGGAAGCACCGTCTGCCTTTTCATCAATCTGTATGATGGGTCAAGGCCTCCCGAGCGCCCATTCGGCCTTCGTCGGCCCTTGGCCGCACTCGGCTTGCAATGGGCGAATCGCACACAGTCCGGGCGGCTACGCTTGCAACCGCGGGCCCCAATGCCCGCAGGTCAAAGAGGGGGCGCCAAAACCTTCAATGGCTCCAAACCCCCAGGGCGTACGCAGGCCTCCGTCCCCACTGGCCCTCTGGACCGCCCGCATAAAAGGAGCAGGCGAGGCGAGGGAAAGGACAAAAAAAAGGGGAACTCCCAGCTCACGCGAACCCTTCCACCCTGACGGCTGGATCGCTGGAGCGGTCTGGGGCTGTTGGCCACGATTATGCGGACAGGTATGCCAAGAAAGGCGCACTCACTGCAGGGCCGCCGCCCGCCTCAGAAATAACAGCCATGGGTTGGCGAGGGCGCCTCGTTGAGGCGGCATCTCCTGTCCGCAGTTCGGGCGCTACCTTTCATACCCGAGGCCCGCCCCCTTCCAGAGCCACGCGCGCCACTCGACGCGCGGCTGAGAGAGCACCAGGATCTCAAAACGGGCATGGGGGCTGCCTGCCAGGCGCTCCCGTTCCCACCGCCCCCCGACCCCGCCCGCACTCCCACCGCCCCCTTGCCCCGCCCGAAGCGGCAACCTCGGCAGCTGCCCCAGCGAACCCAGGAGGGCATGCGTGGGCTTGTCGTCGCACCCGCTGGGCGTGCCAGCGGTGTTTGCGCTTTGCCGCGAGCGACCGTAGCCCCGCGCCCAACGTGTCGCCCTGCCGCGGGTACATTGCAGCCCTCTCTGCTCTGGTCGCCAACCCAAAGGGGCACAGATTGCACGTAGCAAACAATTCCGAGGGTGTTCTGTTCATATGCGGCAAGTGTGGTGCCTACTCTGAAACTGGCGTTTTCCGTTTTTGGGGTAAGGAATGCCCGCCAGGACGCGGTTCCCCGTCCAATGGCGCAAAGCATTCTTGTTACAGGTTTGCCAGAGGCCAACACCCCAACTCGAGAGTTGGCCCGGCCTTTTGCCTTGACGAGCGTCTCCCCGCTTTGGCCCTTTTTCATTTTAGTGCTCACTGGGTCGTTTGCGGTCTGTGGAAAACATGTTTCATCCAATCCTGCGGCTGTTTGCGCAATCTGCGGATCGGTTCACTCCGCGGGGCTGGGGGCCCATACCAACCGAGGTCCCCGCAGAGATGTTCGGTAGCATGTACGCGTGTGTATGCTGCTCTCACACCAGCCCCATGGGGGGTATTCCGCCCTCCCTGGAGGCCCGCTGCAGCCTCCCAGCGACCGCGTCGTTGTTTGTTATGTCTTCCTCTCTCTCTCTCTCTCGCTCTCTCTCTCTCTCTCTCTCTCTGGAGGGGATGAGAGGAAGTAGGAGGAGGGGGCTTTGGACACCGTACTCACATGTACATTTGAGGAACGCGTGCGGGCACGTAATTGTCCGCCGGACAATTCGGCGTGCTGACCACACCAGAGGGCTCATCAATCAGAGCGTGGAGCACGCACGTTCCGCATTGTGCGGGGCGCGTTCGCATACGATCCTGGCCTTTTTTCCCATGCGAGTACCCATCGCACCACACAAATTCAGGACTTTGAGGATGAGATTTCCAAGCGACCGTGGATCACCGAACTCTGAGGGTCGCCTCATCCTTACAGATGGGCTTCGGCACCCTGAAGCCTATAGCGTACTTGGCAGCCCTCTTCCTCTACTCCTTTTCCTTACAAATAACTTATCCCTGTCGCACCCCGAGACCATTTATAACCCTGAAGCCTAGCAAAAGGCAACAGTTTCACAGATGGAGGGCGGGTCGTTTTCAAAATGTGGCTCTCGCCCCAGCGCCGCGCACATTCGCATTGAAACTTTGTGACAGCTTCACGGATTGAGGGCGGGTCGTTTTCGAAATGTGGCTCTCGCCTCAGCGCCGCGCACATTCGATTCAAAAGTCTGGAAGGGCTCCACGGGTTCAGGGCGGGTCGCTTTCAAAATGCAGCCCTCGTTTTAGCGCCGCGCACACTCGTTGTCAAAACATGTGCAACAAATTCACAGGTGCAGGGCGGGCCGTTTTCCAAATGTGGTTCTCGCTTCACCGCCGCGCACAATCGATGCAAACATTCGCAAGAGCTTCAAAGATGGAGGGCGGGTCATTTTCAAAGTGTTGCTCTCGCCACAGCGCCGCGCACACTCGTTCTAAAAATATGCTAGGACTTCACAGATTGAGGGCGGGTGGTTTTCAAAATGTGGCTCACGTTTTAGCGCCGCGCACATTCGTTTTCAAAAACTGCCCGAGCTTATCAGATTCCCGTTGTCAATGTACCAGAGATTGCGTTTGGGAGATATTCAGGGCTATGAGGGCGCAACAGTTACGTCGATTCGCGGTGTTGAAGTCCCAGGAATGGCTTTCGGGCGCGGTTCACAACCATCAGGACGCAACAATCATGTTGATCCGTGGCGTTGGAGTCCCGAGAATGTGGAATGAATCAGCGTCTTCAACCGGTTGTCTTCCAACGAAACACTTCCCTCGGTGGAAATGAACCCTTGTATGGGGCCTATGAGAACGGAGCTTGGGAAGAGGGTGTATGCCAACATCGTTGATGACTCTTGGGCTTGCACTGGTCCCCCTCCCCCTCCTCCTCCTCCTCCTCCTCCTCCTCCTCCTCCTCCTCCTCCTCCTCCTCCTCCTCCTCCCCCCCCTCCTCCTCCTCCTCCTCCTCCTCCTCCTCCTCCTCCGCCTCCTCCTCCTCCTCCTCCTCCTCCTCCTCCTCCATCGACCTCATGAACAGCTCCTCCGTGTCCGCCCCGGAGACGCGTCGGCGGGGGGGCGGGTCGGGCGTTTTCCCTTTCAGATGTTCTCGCCGCCTGCGATCCTGCAACGGGAAAATGCGCAACCGCTTCACGGATGGACGCGGGCCCTTCTCACAATGCGGCTCTCACCTTAGCGCCGCGCGCGGTCGTCATTGAAGGGGCCCTGGGACACACACTTAAATAAACACAAATAAAAGCGTTCCCCATATTTGTCCCATATTTCCTCTGGCTTTCTGTCTTCCCCCCACTTCCCATATTTTCCCATATTTTCTGGGGAATCGACGATTAATTGTGTCTGTGTGTTTTTTCTTCTCCTGGGTCATAGAAACCATGCAACGGCTTCACGGATGGAGGGCGGGTCGTTCTGAAAATGTGGCTGTCACGCTCATTCCGCGCACTTTCGTCTGAAAAGGCTGCATCCGTTTGACGGATGGAGGGGGAGTGCTTCTCAAAATGTAACACTCACCATAACGCCGCGCCTATTTGTTGAAATAAGTTTGCAGCGTTCCAAAAATGAGGGCGGCTCCTTTTCAAAATGTGGTCCTCACCTGAGCGCCGCGACCCTTCGTCTTTAAAGTTCGCAATAGTTTCAAGAACTCGTAAAAGTTGACTACCAGGGCGTATCAAATTTTGATTTGCAGCGTTGGAGTCCCAGAAATGGTGCCCTCGCACGGTTTACGATTGTCCAGACGCAACAATCACGTTGATTCGTGGCGCTGAAGTCGCGGGAGTGATGTGCTGGCACGATTGCGCATTATGAGCAGTTTGTCTTCTAATGGGGCACTCCCCGACATGAAAATGACTTCTTGTAGGGACCTGTGAAGCGGGAACTTGGAGGGAGGCTTTCGTGCAACGTCTTTGATGCGCCTGGACTTTACACCGGTCCTTCTCCTCCTCATCACCATCATGTGTCATATGTGCCCTCCTGTGTGCTCATGACGACAGGTCCGTGACTTGCCCTCCTCCGCCCCCTCCTCCTCCTCCTCATGGTCTGCATGGCGTCTTCAGCGTAGTGCACACCCCTGGCAACGATGCCCTCTGGCGTCTTTTCGCGGAGTTCCGAGTTCCGAGTTCCGAGTTCCGAGCTCCTCCTCCTCATCCTCATCCTCCCCGTCCTGCTCCTCGCACACACGTCGGGCAGGCCCCATCGGGCTCACGGGTGTTCTAGAGGTGCTCAAGCTTCGCGCTTCGCACCTCAAGGCCGAAAGCTAAGAGGCTGCAGCAGGCACGGCAGGCATCAGGAGGGCACACCAGCAGGCTTTTCTAGAGGGGCCCAGGTACACACAAAGAAATAAGCACACATCCAAGAATTCCGCATATTTTCCCTTATGTTATGTGTTTTCGTCTTCCCCACACTTCCCATGTTTTCCCATATTTTCCTGAGAATCGATGATTCATTGTGTCTGTGTGTTTTCCCCCTCCTGATCTTCATCAGGTACCACTGTGGATGTGAAGTACATCGGGCTTCTGACTCGAAGTGGGGCCTTGCTAAGCGTGCGCATGGGAGATGAATTCGGCCTCATGCTGGGTCTCGCTCGGCTGCCTCGGCCCCAGCGCTCCAGAAGGACCCAACCTGCTACGACAGCCCCACCGCGCCAATCTGGAGATGCTCCAAGGAGCTCTCGAGGGACGCGCACGAGGGTTTCGTAAGGAGCCGAACTCTATACACCGACACCTTTGTCTTGCCTCGCACTGAATCTGGCACAGGAAAGCGGATCCTGGTGTATACGGGATCCTGGTGTATACATTCTTCGCTGTTTCCCTGGGAAAACGGGGAAAAAAATACACACCACACCACCCCGACGTCGTCCCCGACCCTCAACAAAGTCCCGGGATTGAACAGCCGTCCGCCACTGGTAGTGTATATGCTCCAGTTTCCGGCTTTGGGGCTTCACGCTGTCCTGGAAAGCGCGAGGAGAGTCCAGGCAAGCCGCCTCCCTGGGTCCCAGGCCGGACGCCGAGGGAGGGCAGAGGGCCAACACCACCTCCGCCGCGGAGCTCGGCCCGCGCAAGATATACAATACAGGCTGGCCCATGCCCAGCTTCTCACGGTCGTGGTCGGCCGGTGTGTGGCACCCGGCTCCCGCGCACCCGCATGTCTCCCGTTGGTCGTTGGAAAGACACACGAGCGACGGAAAGAAACGAGTCTTACGCTGGATGACAGAACCACAGGAAGCCATTCAGGAACCCCCGGGGTCATCATTAGCGCCGCACCGCAACTAAATAATCATTGGGGGGGGTTCGCCGAACGATCTAATTAGCACCGCGCGGTGACTTGCGCGGGCCGCCCGCGCGGCAGGCTGCATTGGAGACGAGGGCGCTCACGCGCGACCTTATGCGGGCAGCTTGCGCGCCCATGTCGGCGCAGACGACCCCGCTTGTTTTTTGGGGGCGTCGCCCATAGTGGGGGCGTTGACCTAAGGAACCCTAAATAAGGAACGGGGAACGGGGCCCCTTTCGCCCATACGTTGAACTTCGATTTCCCATGGAAAACCTCAGGAAAATAGAAGGCAAACTGTCGAACAATCAAGGAACACCGAGCCCCTCCCCAACGAAAAGGGTTCCTTTTTCAGGGCCCCGGCTGTATGAGGCTGGCCGTGGCTCGTTCGCATGAGAAGCGTATGGGGGCCAGGCTCTTGCCAAGGCTGCCCCAGCCCCCAGGAGTATGCCCCGATCAGGCCTGTGCTGCGCTACAGTCCAGCCAGTTCTACTGAAAGGGCGGCATCAAGGCCTGTGTGTAAGGCGGCCTTGTCTAAAGGTCGTGCCTCTGCTGCGGGCTACGCACTTACTCTATTCATAGTATCAAATGAATTAAAACAGTACAACAAGATAGACTAAAATAAAATTAAACAAGATAAACAAACAAAAACACACACACACACTCACACACACACATACAACAAAAAATCGCCTGCCCGCCCGGGCGTGGAGCACCCGACAGCGTTCTGCTGGCACCGCTCCCGCGCCGAGGACGGGAGGCTGGAAGCGATGGGACTGGGTGCGCGTCTTCGACCGACAGCTGATCTGGCAGTGGATCGTTAACCTGCTGAAGGTCTGCTGCATGCAATGGGCTGGACCTAAACGTTGTGTCTGGTCTTGTTTTCGTCTTGTGCTTCGTCCTGCTCGACCTGTTCTCCTGTGACTCCCTGCCAAAACGAAGAACAAAACACAGCCGCAGTCCAGCAGAACAGCGTGCAGGTCCAGCCCTGCTGCGTACCCGAGGGCTCCGTCAGCACCCTGGGGGTACGCTCCCTCGCCCCCCTATGATATCCAAGCCGATGCGCCCCCCCCTCTGCCCAGCGAGCGGGCGGCGCGACAATCCGGCTGTGATGCCCGTCGCGGCCTCCGTCTAGGACGTACAGGTCGCCGGCGGCGTCTCGCGCGCGGGAGACGGGGCGCGCGCGCTCAGGGGCGCGCGCGCGCTCAGGGACGCTCTCAAGGCAACCCAAGCGGCTTCCAAGATGACGCCGGGCGGCCCCGACGAGCCCCAAGCGGCCCCAAGAGAACCCCCAAGGGTGCCCCCAGAAGCACACGGGGGACCCCAAGTGAGAGCCCCAGATGCCGCAAGCGAGGCCTAGAGAGCTTCCAAAGCTTTTCGGCCCAAGATGTCATCACGAGTGTTTCAAAACAATCCCACCGGCCCTCTGGGCGCAGGTGGTGTAGGGCATTTCCTTTTCCAACCTCATTCCTCCCAGTGTTCGGGGAGATCTACGTCCCCCCCCCTCCCTGGGTCTTCCAACAGGGCCCGGATAACGAGTGTAAAGTACCCTCGGGAGGCGAAAACAAAAAAAACGCTCACAGGGGCACCCAAAGGACATCCGTGCGTCCTTCCTGTGAGCTCTGGCCGCGTAGAGCCTCCACTGTGCATCGGGGGAGGGGGAGGGGCGACGCCTGGCCCGGCAAGACAGGCAGCCCCAGCCGTCCCAGGAAGGCGGCGGCAGCCCCCATGGAGCGCCCCTCGCGAGGCCCCGAGGGCCGCACGGGGCTCCGGAAGGGCGCGAAGCGCCGAGGGCGCCTGGGCTCAGGATCACTTCTGGCGGCCTCCGGCCCCAAACCTCCAGACGCCGCGATCGAGAACCACT